GGTCGTCCGAAATTTCAAGTCCCCTCAGGCCAGTCGGTTGGATGATAAGAACCAGCGTGCTGGGATGCTGCTTAACCTTGCCACCAGTAAATACACGCACGCCCAAAACGTGAAGGCACATGCTTCTGGCGATGGCCTCGATGACGATTCGTTGTCTAAGAAGGTCGGCAATGATGAGGCATATAGGGCTGCGAAAAGAGGGGCTCACATTCACCCTTCTCCCAGCCAGCCTGACTCAGCCATAATCGGAAATCAGTTGTCTGTAAGACGAGCTGTTGTCGCGCTTGCTGCGTGCGTGCATGCGTCCTCCCGGAATGGCCGAGATTGGATTTGGATGGAGCGCAGCGTGTCGCGTCGGTCGGCAAGCGGCCCGTCCCTCGTTTGGGTCATGAACGGTCGTGGTGCGAGCGTTGTGGGCGATGTCATGTTTGTCTTTCTTCCAGCGGGCGGGGGCGGAAGCCTCTTGCCCGTGGTTGCGCGAGCCCCCCACCAGAACGAGTTTTGGCCATCGCGAGGCATGCGTCCAAGCTGGTTGTTTTCTCGAGCTCCGACGATGCATTAATCTAAGCGTGCAATGTGTGTTGCGCCTATACCTATGGGGGGGCAAATCCGCGATCTTTCGAAGGATTGTCTCGGAGCCCCCCATAGCAATGGAGTTGCGCAGGCCCGGGGGGATTTTTGTCGAAGCAACCGCCCGAAGCTCTCGCCTGTCCAGGTCGAGCCATTTTCCCTGCGAGACTTCTCTCCCAGGCCCACCCAGATGAAACGAATCCTCCCCCCCCCCTCGCCCTCCATTTCTTCTCCTCCTCCTCCGCCCATCCCCCCCCCCTATTGTCGAAGGTGATGGTCGCCCGAAGGAGGGCCCCAAGATAACTCCAAGACGGCCCCCCAAAAAACCCAAGAACGCCGTTGTGGCATGGGAACATGTTTTTAAATCGATCGACATCTGTTCCCGCCGTTTTCGGTGGGCCCTTGTGAACGTGAGCTGGTCCTCCGGGGCCCTTGGTGACCATGGGCATGGGTTGCGGCGCGCAGGCCTGCTCCTTGACCGACGGCGCCCAGTTGTCGCGCATGAGGGCATGCCAGAACATATCGCGGATCTCGCCCACCGAGGGGCATCCGGGCATCGCGTCCATCGGGGGGCCAGCGGACTCCCCATGAAGACCGAGGCGGGGATCCGCAACGAGGCAGCGTACAGACTGCCGTGGGCAGCTGGGAAAAGCGGAAACCAGGCCAACATCCCACCGTCTGGCAGGAGCTGTTGCATCTCCTCCGCCGTGATCTGCCCCTTGCCCAAGCGGCTCTGCCAATCTCTGGCCACCGCCGGCGGAAGTGGCCGGGGGCTCGAAACGACCTCGGCCGACAAACCCGACACCGCCGACAGCTGCGCAATGGCGCGTTCGCCATTTGGAGGTGGTTGTGGCGAGCAGAAAGGCGAGGCCTGGCTCAGCCATGTCGCGCCGCTGCCCCACTCCGCCACCTTTCTCCCGCCGGCTCCGCAGGGGCACAGTGGGGAGCTGCTCCAGGCGCTGGCGATGAGCCGCCTCGAAGCGTTCCGAAGCCAAATTGGCGTCCCCCCTCGCTTCCTCGCTCCTGTGGAAGCAGTGCTACATGGCAATATGTGTCACGATGCCATGTTTCTGTGCGCGGCGCGCCAATGTACTCAAGGGCCCTACGCGGCGATGGAATCGAGACGCGTGCAAGCGTGGAGGCGCAAGCAGGGGGGGGGGGGGGGCACAATACCATGAGGAATAACAACAAGAGGACTGCGTTGCTACTCCACGCGCGCCCAAACCTCATGTTGGTTTTGTGGCCCCTCACCTACCGCCCTCATTCGCATAAAGAATCTGGCTGCGCGCATGTGGAACATAATGACGATGTCCGCTAAGCTGAACAGCGCGGTTCGCGAACCACCGCGGATGCATGCGCCATCTCCCTGTATTGTAGGATGCGGAACGTGACTCTGCCGAATATTGTAGGTAGGCGCCGCTTTAGTGGAGGTCGTATACTGAACATGGGTGCAGGCGCTGAACGCAGCATTCTACGCGCCGCTGCTCTGAGCAGGGTCACATCGCGTCTTGCTTTGGCTGTTGCGCGTCTTCGGGTCGAGCCTGTGCTTTTCGAGGGTTGCAGATTTTCTTTGCGATGCAAATCCCGCCAGTGCGCGTCAGGATCTGTAGTGGAGAGAGATTGCCGTTGCGCTTTGTCACGGCGTCGGCGCGCGTGCCAGACTGGTCGACCCATTGGGCAGTGCCGTTCTGAGTGCCCAGAGAGGAACGTATGATCTGTACCTCGACCGCCGTCCTGCGGTCGGCTGTGCATCCAGCGCTCTCGCTGTGCTGGTGATCATACAGCGATTCGGCGTCGCACGTAGTCATCGACTGTTATAAATTTTTGGTTCGGGCCTGCTGTCCGGCCAGCTACAGACATGCCTGTGTGACGTGTGCGAAACGCTCAGTTGACGACGTCGATAAAAATTCCACCGGCTCTTCGAACAGACCCCGCACCCACTCGACTCCCGTTAGGGATTCGGACATTGATTGCGTCTCTGCAGCAAGATTGCTGGCAGCAGTCCGCGGCAGACGCTGGGATTTGTACGACGCCAAGGCAACGGGGGCTGCTTTGTGCTCCCACGGCGCCAGAGTCGTAGCACCGACCAAGAATGCCCCCTGGCTCTTGTCGCCGGCGGCGTTTGCCCAAGAAACGTCCTGGAGAATCACCCACCGCAGCAGATGCAATGGTAAGCGTGGAATCAGAATGCCGAGTTTGGGTTCCTTCGTCAAAACAGCCGCGCAGCCGTGCGCATCGCGCAGGTCTTGCACCGCGCTCGCACGCACCGTTGCCATACCTAGGGGGGCGAGCCCAGATGCATCTAGACGCGTCTCTCTCTGAACCCGATTCACACCACCCCAGACAACCCGTAGTTGGGACTGCTCGCTGTCAGTTCTAGGGTCGTTCTTGTTGCGCTTGCGCCCCTTGGGAATGGTGATTGCAAAGAGACGCTCGATGACTAACTTCGCTTGGTTGATGTGAAAATCCCTAGTCCCTGTGCTGTTGTATAGCACGCCCAGCTGAGTCACACTCACCGCAATATATTGCATTCCCCTTGCCAAGCCGAAATCGTTGTTGTACGCGTTGCATTTTCTCGTCGTGGACGCGATTACCGTGAGCGGCAATGTCATCGCTTTCGATTGACAAATGTCCATCTGGGCCTTTGAGGGTAATCGTGCAGAGAACACGCGGATCGTAGCATGACCTGCGGTGCCCAAAATATTCACTTGCACGTGCCAGCGTCTTGCGCCAGGCGGCCGACGCGTGGACAAAACCATGCGCGGCAAAGTTGAATTGGATCAGCGACCTGGCCTCGACCCGAATTCCGTCTTCCAGATGAACTCCTCCATGAGGAACAAAACCATGCAACTTACCACGTGGTCAGTCGCCGTAGTCCTTGTCGTTCTGCATGAAAGCCGTCTTCAGGTCACCAGATGTGACTTCGCGCTGCAGACACGCAACTGCGTGCAAAAAGAAGTGCGTGCTGGATGTCCGTGGTGTCGGACTCGCTCGTGCTAGCTCCATGATGTCTGGCCTCTGTGCCCCAAGGCCCAAAGACGGCCCCATACGCGCCCAAAACGGCCGACGAGGGCCTCCAGATGGCTCCAAGAGGGAGCTGGGAGGGCCACTTGTTGGTCCTTTGGCTCCGAGAATCCCTCATCCTGCTGCAAAAACCTCCCAAGGGCCCCAGGGAACCCAAAGCGAGGCCCCAAAGGCCACCAACAGGCTCCCAGACAATCTCCACCAGGCCTTTACACTACCCCCAAGACGCCCCCATGACGCCTCATGACCAAATAGTGATTCCTCCTCCTCTTCTTTGACTACCCTTCCGCCTCCCCCCCATTTTCCCTCAGCTCCTCCTCCTCCTCCTCCTCCTCCTCCGCTTTCAGCTTCTTCGCGTTTTTCTTTTCATCGGCTTCGTCCTCTCTCGCTCGCTCGCACCCCCAGTGCTCCTACCTCTACTGGCCATGGCACGGGCGCCCTACAAGTCTTATTTGCATGGCGTGCATTTCAAGGTGCTCTCTTCTCGTCACGCGCGACATGGCTCGCGTCCACGGAGAAAACCGACTTCGGCAATTTCCTCTGACGCTTGCCACTGCACTGAAAGGCTGCCAACTGCGCGACGTGAGCCCTCCAAACACCGAGAAACACCACCACAACTCTGAATTCACTTAACAAGGGGTCGGCGGATGTGGCGTAAGCCTATAAAAGTCTCTATCTCCCGACCTCCTGCCCTCCACCCCTGACTCTGCTCATTCGCTGTCTAAGTCATCTCTCCCATCGTGCTCAGCGAATGCAATGGCCACCAGTGACAACTGCACGCCTGGGAACACGACGGAACCAAAAGGTGTGCTTACCAAAGCAAAACGAAGCCCAATGTGGTTGTACATCGCGCCGAGGCGCGTACATTCAGATATCAAGACCTGTGGTTTTTTCCCGTTGAGGCAATACGGGTGGTTCCTAAGATGCAACGAGTCCATCGGGGCGATAATCTTGCATCGAAGAGCGCGGGCAACTCACGGCAGGGAGCACAGGAACACACCCAAACGACAAAACTATATAAGCCATCGCGTAAGCAACGGGTGTCCATAAGTACGAATTGCCATGTACAGCGTCAGCAACGACACAAGTAAATTCCGCAACTTCCCCCCCCCAAAAAAACGCATCTGTTTAGCAGGAAAAACGGGGGAGGCGGGATAGAGACGCGAACAGCCAATGATCAACGTGCGTGCCATCCGTTCCTAGACTTGCAATTCCAGGGCTTCATCACGTGCCGGCAAATTTCTTCCTACTGCTAATTTGTTATATTGTTCTTCGCCGTCTGCTCCTCCAACTCTCCTCCTTCCCTCCTCCTCGTGACTCTGCAAACTCGCGCTGTGCCGTTGCTCCTCCTCCTCCTCCTCCGATTCTTCGCGCTCTCCTCATCCTCCAACTTGGGAAAGATGGTCCTTGTCCAACATGGAAAGCATCTGCTGGAGGATGACGCCGGAGGACATCTCTTCGCCTCCAGGCCAGAGCAGGCTGAGCCCTCCTAGAGAAGCTCGTCCTAATCACGTCTCAAAGGTGCCGAACGAGCGGGGGGTGAATGAGCATGCTGCAACTCCCCCAACCACCCCGCCTTCTCGGCTGTGTCTACAAGCGGGCAAAAAACTCGACGTTCGCAAATGCAGTGAAGAGGCGCGACCACCGGTATCGGACAATCATGCATGATGCCTCTCTCTGGTTATGAGCGATTCGCTGGTGCTTCTGAGCAACCTGGCGTCAATTGCCGACCGTGGACACGAACGCATGGCTTAACTCTCTCGTGCAATGTCGGGGCCACTCGTCGCAGAAATGGATGCATCGACGGGGGCAGTTCACCCAAGTACTCCTCCGCGCACTCGCGGATCTCCTCGGGGGCGGGAGGGGGGGAAAAGGAGGGAAGGGAGAGCAGGAGTCGGAGAACCAAGGACTCCCACCAGCCCTTTAGGGCGTGAGTGGTTGAGAGCGTTTCCTCTTCCAACCCACCTTCTTCCCCTTCGGGGAGAGGTTCACTCCTCCTCCCCCTTTCCCCCCCCACTCCCTGGGTCTGGAGTGGGGTTGGCGAGGTGTCAGAGGGTCTTTTTTGCCTCGGCGAAAAGGGCCAACCCATCAATTGTATCAAGGTTTTGGCCACATTTTGGCCTCCTGGGGGGCTACGTCGATCCTCATCCAATATAAACCCAAGATGGGCCCCGAGGCTCCCAAAGGTGCCCCAAGACGGCCGGAAGAGGTGCCCAGGAGGCCTCAAGAGGCCCCCGGTAATGCCAACAGACCCCCAAGACACCCCAAGAGGACTCCAAGTATAGCTCTCGGACTCCGCGAGGCATCCAAGGCCTTTCTGCTCGCCCTCCTCTTCCTCCTCTTCCTCATCCGCCTATTACTCCTCCTTTCTTCTACCTCCTTCCCCTCCCCCTCTCACTCCTCCTCCTCCCCCTCTTGGGGTGTGACGTCTTACCCATCCTTTGATTCCACTGCATGCTCCTCCACATTCCTGATCAGGGCAACTCGTCTGAACATCGGTTCTGAATGGGCTGGTGGGATTACGCGAAGCGTCCAGGATTAGGGACGAGAAAGAGTTTCGCAAGCGCTTCACTGTCAAGCGGTGTGTGGTTGCTGTTCAACCAGCGGCGAAATAGAGACCAATACCGACAGGCCAGCAAGACAAAGAAAGGGCGGGGGGGGGCTGGAGCCGACGGGAAGGGCGACGAGGGACAGACGGAGGAGGGCAAAAAGGGCACTAGGGAAGGGAGAGACAGTCTCAGCACACCAGCGGGAACAGCTAGAGCGAGCGGGGAGATCGATGGACCGACGGGGGCGACATTGTGAAGAGAGAAGGTCACGAGCGAGCGACTGCTGTAGCAGCGAGCAGCTTGAGAATGGAGGACAGCCCACGAGGCAGTGCAGCACGCTTGAACATAAGGAGGCGATGAGCATCAACCACTTTTACGCCGTGCACCTCCCCCGGTTTTGCTCACTCTCCTCCTCCCTCTCCTCCTCCTCCCCCTCCTCCTCTTCCTCCCTCTCCTCCTCTTCCTCCCTCCTCCTCCTCCTCCTATTCTCCTCCTATTCTCCTCCTCCTCCTCCCATCCCCCTGCTGATGGTTACAGCGCCCATCTGCGGACAACCCACAAGGCAGAACCGCTGACCGTGCACAAGAGCAGTCAAGCTGACCCGATGGCCGTGGCAGCAACGGTCAATCACATGCCAACGTGACCCACAACATCCTGTTCTCGTGCGCGTGCGCATGAGGACATGTGTCGTCACAGGCCCGATCGCAACTCCCAAATCCTCGAGAGATATTCTTCCATCGTCGTTCTTGTCCAACATGTGAACGAACTTGTCGATGCTCTTCTGTGGGCCGGGGCTCAACCGACTGTCCACACTGATGCCCTGCTGTTCTTCACTGGCCTCCTCGACTTGAGCTGGCACACGATCGTCCATGATCAATGCCACCGCGTCAACTCTAAAAGAAGAGAAACCGCCATAACCTTAAACTTTTGGTGCTCCGCGCGGATTTCTTGGATCCGCGCTGGGCCCCCCTCCCTGGCGCGCGGAGCGCACCAAGGGCGGCGCAGGAGGCGCCGCCAAGGGGGCCCCAGCGCGGATCCAAGAAATCCGCGCGGATCGCCAAACGTTTATGTTTATGGCGTTTTCTTTCTTCTTCGATCTTCGATCTGTGGCCGCTCACAATCCAGACACAGGCTTTGACCTGGAGGCCCCCCCTTTCGCCCCATTCCGCTCCCCCCCACTCCCCGTCCCTCCTCCCTCTTCCCTCCTCCCTCTTCCCCCTCCCGCTCCGCCCTTCCCCCTTCCGCTCCTCTCTTCCCTCTCCCGCTCCCCCGTCGCTCCTCCCTCTTCCCGCTTCCCCCCTTCCGCTCCCCTTGGGCGCCCGAGTTATCCGGGGTAACTCGGGTTTGGATTCCCGAAAAAGGAACCCGAGTTATCCCTGACCCGAGTTACCCCTGATGATTCGGGGCTCTGATCCCCTCTTTCCCCCCTTCCGCCTTCCCCTTCCCCTGGCTTCGCCCCCTTCCGCTCCCCCCCTTCTCCGCTTCTCCTCCCCCGGCCCCCCCCTCTGCTCGCTCCGCCCGGCGCCTGCTCCCCCCTCGCGCGCCCGCGTGCCCCTCGCGCGTCCGCGCAGCCAGGGCGTGGCCTTCCGGCACGGCGCCGGGGCCTTCTTCGAAGGCCCCGCCCACCCTCTCGGAAGCCTTCTCGGAAGGCTCCGGCGCCTTTTGAGGGGCACCCCTGCTTCCTCAAGAAGCCCGCCCTTGTGTGGGAGGCCTGGAGGTTGACACCAGCGCCAAGATCGGCGGTGAAGGTGCTCCCGATCTCGGTGATGGTGGTCATATTTCGGCGTCCTCTCGGTGATGGTGGTAATGTTTGGGCGTCCATATTTCGGCGTCCTCTCGGTGATGGTGGTAATATTTGGGCGTCCTAGGTGGCCGAAGATTACCACCACCACCGAATTCCAAGGCCATTTTCCCTGGCTGAGACATGCCCGTCTGTTGGTGTTGGTGCCCATTTCCAGGCCTCCAATTCTGCGCGGCGCCGAGACGCCCAGGCTCGCCATTGGCTGCCTGGCGGGTTTGGGGTGGGACTGGCTCAGGGGCAGGAGAGCCCAGAATCGAATACAGAAGTCGGATCGGCGATCGAAATGACTCGGATCGGCGGAAAATGGCAGCCAAGTCGGGAGAAGCCGCATCGGCGGAAATCGGGAGGCCAACAACGGTCCCATCGAGAAGCCATAATCCAAATCGGAATCCGAAGACGAATCAAATCGGAATCGATCGAGATCGGACCGAATCGAGCGGAGAAGTCGAAATGAGCCCTGCAGGGGGGGGGTATTGACTTGCATTCGGCGCTGTGCCCTCGAAAGCAGTGCCGGCCGCTCCTGGGCGGGACGAAACATCGACGCCCCGATTGGCGCCGCGAGATCCGTGCTCTCCCCCTGCCGGAGGAGGAGGGAGACAAGGAGGAGTAAGAGGAGGAGGAGGAGCAGGAGGAGGAGGAGGATGAGGAAGAGGAGGAGGAGGAGCAGGAGGAGGAGGAGGAAGAGGGGAAGGAGGAGGAGGGGGAGGCGGAGGAGGAGGAGGAAGACGAGGAGGAGGACGAGTAGGAGGAGGGGGGGAGGAGGAGCAGGACGAGGAGAAGGAGGAGGAGGAGGAGGAGGAGGAGGAGGAGGACAGTCCTGGGAAGCTTCTCCTGGCCCTCCCCGCCTCCTCTCCCTACTCCTCCTCTGCGCGGCCTGCACAAGCGGGGGGGGGGCTGGGAGGGGAGAACTGGCAAGGGAGGGACAAGGAGGGACCGGGAACGAGAAGGCGGGATGGGGAGGATCCAGGGTTGGTGGGGGTAGCGAAGGGGAGAATGGGAGGGAAGGATGCGATGGAGGAGAGTGGCAGGGGACGAGGGGGATACGGGTTAAGAGGCGCATGGGGGGGTAATTCGGGTAGATGGTAAGGGGACGGGGTGGGAAAGGACATGAGCGAATCCTAAACAGGGATCGGGAGACTCTCCTCCCCTCTCTCCTCCCCTCTCTCTTCCCCCTTCTCCTCCTGCTCTCCCTCCTGCTCCTCCTCCTCCTCCTCTTCCCTCCGCCTCCCTTCTCCTCTCTCCTCTCCTCTCTCCTCTTCCCTCCTCCTCCTCCTCCTCCTCCTCCTCCTCTTCCTCTTCTTCCTCCTCATCTCTTCTCCTCCTCCTACTCCTACTCCTCTTCCTCCTCCTCCTCCTCCGCCTCTTCCTCCTCCTCCTCCTTCTCCTCCTCCTCCTCCTCCTCCTCCTCCTCCTCCTCCTCCTCCGCGCGCGCGGGGCAAAGACATCCTGGCGCAACTGAGTGAGGTCCACCTCAGGCTGGTTGGCCTGGATGCTGACCGTGCTCCGCAGATTGGCGGTGGTTGCCTGCTCCTCTCCCTTCGACGAATCCTCGTCCTCCCCCCGCCTGAGAAGGAGTGAGCATGATACTGATGATGATGATGACGATGACGATGAACATGATGATGATGGATGATGATAATGATGATGAGGATGATGATGCTGCTGATGATGATGATGAAGATGGCGGTGATGAAGATGCTGATGGCGATGGCGATGGCGATGACAATGACGATGATGACGATGATGATGCTGATGGTGGTGATGATCATGGAAATAATGATGCTGATGATGCTGCTGCTGATGATGACCTCCTACTCCGTCCTCCTGTTCCTCCTCCCTGGTAACCCGCCATGGTTGTCGTCCTCCCCCTCCTCCAACTCTTGCTCCTCCTTCATCCCCTCATATTCTAATCCATCTCGCTTCGTGCTTGCATCAGTTACTGGTAACCTTTCGTGGTCGGATAGACGACGTGCGGCCATTGATGATCCTCTAGACATTGCCCTTCGACTGCAAATTGCAATCAAGCCTGATCTCGGCTACGCCATTTCTGTTCATAAGGTGGCTGTAGCCAGCGCCTGCAATTTCCAAGGCTGTTCTGCGTGGTCTTGGTGGTGTGTTCGGCAAAGGATGCACTTCCGTAATCAATTTTGGGCGTCGGCGATGCCGGTGACAAGCCCGGCAGAGTCGCCCGTCGATGGGTGCAGGGTGTGTGCTGCAGTCCGTCTAAGCAGCGTTGCAAACCTAAGACTGATTGTCCAGGTCGGACGAAGGGCGAAAGCAGTCCACCCCCTTTGAAGGCCAATGATGGGGGAGGACCCCCTCAGCGGGGGAAAACATCGCCCTGGAATCGGCAATACGTCGCCGATAGATCGGCGATAGGCCCCCGATAGCACAACTGCACGGTCCTGGCCAGGTGAGCTATCGGGCTCCTACCGGCGATCAGTGAGCAATTGGGGGTCGATGCATCCCCCCCTGAGACTATCCCCGTCCCCAGTGATTTTCGGGCCATACCTCTGGCCATCACCAGCCGTTCGGGACGATCTGGGCACCCTGGGAACGCTCTCGGCGAGCCGCAGCTGCTGGAAGGCACCCCAAGGACGGACGTCCCACGGGAATAGAAGAAGAAACATCGGCATAAACATACACTTTTGGCAATCCACGCGGATTTCTTGGATCTGCGCTGGACCCTCCTCCCTGGCGCGCGGAGTGCGCCAGGGGCGGCGCCGGAGGCGCCGCCAGGGGGGCCCAGCGCGGATCCAAGAACTCCACGCGGAGCGTCAAAAGTTCATGTTTACGGCGTTTTCGCCTCCGAGAGAGAACCGACGACCTGATCCTTCCGTCCGACCCGACTCGCCTTCGTCTGCAGAAGCCGTCGCTCCGTCACCGCGCTCAACTTCTCTTCACTGCGGGGCCACTCGCGGGGTGCACCTGCCGAGTGCGCGGCGCACGGCGCCTCCCTCTGCGGGCGGGGCTTCCCTGCGCCGCTCCCTGGGCCGTGTCTTGCCGCCGAATGCCGCAGGGCTGCTCGCCGCCGGTCCCACTTGCCACAGTCATCGTGCTGTCTTGAGAAAGGCTTCCTATAGGAGGCCCGCTCAATCCGCCCAGAAGGCCCGCCCGATTCTTCTCAGAAGCCCTCCGGGCCTTCTGAGAAGCCCTCTGCGGCCTCGGCGAATGGGGAATCAAAAAGGTACGGGTACAGCTACTCCCCGGACCTTTTCTGGGGTGCGCTCTTGGCGGGCCCCGAAGAAGCAAAACCCAGGACAGGGTAGCGGTATCTACACAACCTTTTCCTCCTCTGAAAGAACCCCCCATGCGGCCTCGGATACGGCTTGGAAGGCTGCTCAGAGGCCCTCCCGTCTTCCGGGAAGCCCCCTCCGTGGCCTCTCGAGAAGACCTGGAGTGATGGGCCGATTTTCCACGAGCCGATTTTCTACCACCACTGCCATAGGTAGGAGAGGGAGGATGAGGAGGATGAGGAGGATGAGGAGTATGAGGATGAGGATGAGGATGAGGAGGAGGAGGAGGAGGATGAGGATGAGGATGAGGAGGAGGAGGAGGAGGAGGAGGAGGAGGAGGAGGAGGAGGAGGAGAGGGAGAGGAGGAGACGGATGAGGAGGAGCAGGTGAGGAGGAGGAGGAGGAGGAGGAGGAGGAGGAGGAGGAGGAGGAGGAGGAGGAGGAGGAGGAGGAGGAGGAGGAGGAGGGAGGGAGGAGGACCTCCCGATCCTGCCTTCTGCCGCGCCCGACCTATGGTAGCGATGGTGGACAATGGGCCCATCGTGGAGAGCTCCTCGGCAGGCTGGAGGCCTCTCAAAGATCGCCCCCAGACTATTTTCTACTATTTTCTGATGTTCCTCCTGTACAGGGACACTCCCGACTTACCCCTGACTCGTCCCGCCCTCCCTCTCTCCCGCCTCTGCCGCGCCCTCCTCCCGCCATCCCCGCCGTGCCGCTCCCCCCTCGCCACGGCCGCCAGGGGGGGGGCGGCCCGCGCGCCTTCTCGAGGAGGCTCGCCCACATCAGCCCGCAGAAGAACTCCACCTGAGCCCCCCCTCCACGAGGGCTGTCCTCTCCCCCCTCGCCCAACTCGCCATCGCTCGGACGTCCATTCCCTGTGCTTCTTTCGATTTCGTGCGTGTTTTTTTCGCCAAATGATCAAGGATGCTCCTCGATGGTCCTCGCCGAAGGAAAAATGCACACGTCCGAGCGATGCCAAGCCAATGGCGAACGCACCCGGATCCGCGCCCGCGCGGCCTGGATTCCAGGGCGCGATCCCGCGGATCCGCGGCCGCACGGACACGTTCCGAGCGGGGCAGAAGCGAACACACGCCCCGCATCTGCAAGGCTGCGGCCCAAGGGCCACGCCCGCGAGGCCGCGAATACGGCTATGTCTTTCGTGGCAGATCGCCTGCCCTCTCCCTGCATGCCAACTGCTGCGCAAGCTGCCGCTCTGTCTCACCATACGGCGTGGCAAGCCAAGCAGGGGACTTGGCTCGAGCTCAGCCGATCATAATCCTGGCAACCAATGTTTCGGGAACGATGCTCTTTGTTTTAACGGGCCTAATTGGACAGAGAGCCCCCCTCAAATCCCAACAGCCCTTTTAGGGTGTGAGTGGTCTAGCGAGCTCGTTCTGCTGATCCCTTCTTTTCCCCTTTGGGGAGCGGGTACCCATTCCCCCTCCCCCCTCTTCCCCCTCCCCCCACTCCCCCCGGGTCTAGAGTGGGCGTTCCGCGAGGGATTGGAGCATCCAAGATGGCTCAAGATGGCGCTCAGAGGGTCCCAGATAGGTCAAGATGGCTTCTAGGATCAAGACAAGATAACTCCAAGTGGCTCGCCACAAGACAACTCCAAGTGGTCACGGATCCTCCCGATGCAGTCAACACGTTTTAAAAGATGCGCGGTAAGGATGCAAGGGCCTGGGAAGGCCATGTCGACACCTTGCGCGCGGGGCGCGGCCAGCGAAAGAAGCCAAGGATGAGCCGAAGGGGACGGATGCCATGGCAACCTTGGAAAGTCGCTCATCCTTGCTGAGCGCTCTGACTGCAATGTCCGCAAGGGGCCTCCAGGCTGGCGAGGGGCGCGCGCGCCAGCATGGGGGCCTGAATAAGCAGGGCTGGAACCGAGCAGAGAAGAAAGGGCCCACCCTGCAGATTCGCTTGAACAACGCGTCATTGAGCGGTGTTACCGGCTCCTCTGAGCACAGGCCCCCTCACCAGAGCATCAGCCAGACAAGTCGGGCTGCTTGCGAAGGGAGGATGCCGGTCCCGAGCGTGCCCTCGGCTCCGGCGGCCCGCGGGGCCCCGCGCCGACAGGGAGAGGGCGGGAGGAGAGCGACGGCCGGGGGGCAGGATGTGGAGCAGGAGGGAGGAGGGAGGAGGGCGAGGAGGAGGGGGATTTTCCCAATGGATGGGCAAGCTGATGCTGATGCTGCTGCAGATGATGATCATGATGATATGATGAAGATGAATATGAATATGAATATGAACATGATGATGATGATGGTGATGATGGTGGTGATGCTGATGATGATGATGGTGATGCTGATGATACTGCTGATGCTGATGCTGATACTGATGCTGCTGATGATGCTGCTGATGATGGTGATCCTGATACAGATGATGATGATGATGATGATGATGATGATGATGATGATGATGATGATGATGATGATGATGATAAAAATGGTGGTGTTGCTGATGATAACGATGATGATGATGATGATGATGTTGATGTTGTTGATGACGATGATGATGATGCTGATGATGAAGATGGTGATGATGATGATGATAAGGCTGAGGATGCGGATGATGATTAGGAGGGGGAGGAGGAGGGGGAGGAGGGGGAGGAGGAGGCGGAGGAGGAGGAGCAGGAGGAGGAGGAGGAGGAGCAAAGCAAGCAACGCCTCAGGAGGGTGTCGACACAATCTGAAGCCTCGGCACACGTACAAAAGCGGTGAACCGTCTTTGACGTCGCCGACTTCTCACCTGGCGTTCGCCATGGTCGACACAATTGTTGTTGTCGTCCCACGCGTGGCTGAGCAGCACGGGCTCCCCCCCCTTACCACGGCTGGTTTCCCGCGCTTTAAAGGCAGGGGTGGCCGTAGGGATGGGCAACAAGGGGGATGGGTACACACACAACTACATTGAATAACCCCCTGGCAGGCAGAGGACCAAAAGGAAGGAGCCAGCCAGCCAAGCGGGCAAGCGCACGTACGGAGGGCAAGCGAGGAGACCAGCGACGCAAAGGAGCAACGGGAGAGCACAGCACACGGCAAGCCGCAGCACCAACCGCCAGGAAGCGTGCTTAAAGGTTGAGCGGCATCTCCCAGAGGGCCCAGAAAACGCGCCAGACCCACGGAACAAGAGACGAAAATAAACAGCACAGTGGGCCAACGTCGCCCACGGAGTCTACAACACGGCCCGAGACCCGGCGCCAGGAAAATATTAGAGGCTCCGCGGTCCCAGCCCAAGAATATTCACTATGCGACTAAAAGGGAAGGGAGTCTCAGACGAAGGGGTGGGAGACTGGTGGACACTGGGGCTGCCGGTAGCACGAAGAGACGGAATGGCGCTGGCCTCCTCCGGTCCCCTGGACACACTGGATGTCGTTAGTCTCTGGGTCGGCGGGGTGGAAATCGGAGTTCTGCTGTCCTAAGCTCCCGATCGTAGCGGCGAGACTGGCGACGACGGGGGTAGCCTCTGGGCTGCCGTTGACCTCTGGGTTCCCGAAGCGGGTAGCGACTGGGTTCTGCGTGGGGAGATAGGTGTCGGCGGCGAAATCGGAGGAGAGGGGCCCACAGTCTGTAGGGTTGTCTTTTGGGAACCCACGCTGCTAGCGAAGCTGGGCCTCCTACTGGCAATCCAGTCAGAGGCATCGCAGCGTGGTCCCTGTGCTGCGCGGGCAGTCTGTAGGCTTGACTGTTGGGGTTTCACGCTGCTAGCAAAGCTGGTCCTCCCACAGGCAATCCAGGCAAAGGCATCGCAGCGTGGTCCCTGTGCTGCGCTGGCCCTCTTGTCCACTGTTAGGTCGTCGTCCCGTAATTGTGGGTCCCTCCCAACTGTACCAGCGCATCTACCACGGCCTGTTCGAGGTCGGGGGGGGGTCTGCCGACAGGTGCAGCGTGACCTTGTCGCCCTGATGCGTTAACTGGATCCTGCAACGGCGCATCTCGTGTGCCAGGTTCGCGTTCGTATGCTTCTCGTGGGTGGCCTTCTCCTTGTATGCATTGATCTTCCGCAAATTGGCCTGTCCTGTCCGCTCTTCCTGGCCTATCAATACGCCGATCAACGCCATCCACACATGTGGGTGCGGGATCCCGGGCTGCTCCAGCTCGGCCGCTGACTGCCCCGCCTGGATCTCGTCCTTGTGGTCCTTCCGAAGACGCGCGGCCTCCGCGCCGTAGAGCTTCGCCGTCACCTGCATGGCCGTGATCACGTCGTGCTTGGCGGGCATCTGCACGTGGCGGTACGCGGCGGCCTCCAAGTGGTTGATAGCGTTCTCGTGTCGGAGCGCGACCCTCGCCAGGCTGGGAACGAGCGCCTGCATCCAGTCGATGGGCATCATGTCGAGCTGGTCGACGTCTCTCTGCGCCAGTCCGTAGTGATTGTCTCTGGCGTCCCAGACTGTGCCTGCGGGCTGCGCGGGTCCTGCGGGCTGCTGTCGGGGCTGTGCCGCCGCTGCCTGCTGTCTGTGTCCTCAGCGCGGGCCGCCTCGTTCGTTGCTGCGGGTGCGATGTGCTCCTCTGGCGGCCCCTTCCGCGCAACTCTGCCTCTGCAATGCCCCGATGCTCAGGGCGCGTCCCGCGAGGTTCGCCAACGGAGAGAAGATGAGGTGGCGGGGGGGGGGGGGCGTGCGCGACCCAGATGTGTTCTTGCAGCGCGTGAAGTGACAGGAACTCCCCTTGGGCCTGCGTGGCTCCAGTAAGGAATAGTCGTTCTCTATGTATGGGGCGGGCGCTGTCAGGATCAACGCAGGCGGGGCCGAGGAGAGTCGCGGGGCTCTGCGCAGCAGGGGGGAACGGGCTGTAGTCGGCAAGGCGCCTCGTGAGCTCCAACGATTGCTGCACAAGCCTCTTCGCAATCACAACCGAGGAGAACGTGGAGGCACACTAGGTTAGTAACGATCAGCTGATCCAGGGGCACTCGACAACGCTGCTCAGGATGATGGCACTGATGGGCTCTCAGGGCACCGCTAGTGGCGAAAACTTTGTTGCAAGGTTCTCTTTCACCTAGTAGTAGCTCGCATGCGTGTTCATGTAGCGGGGGCTCAGGCACTGGTGGAGGCACAGGGTGCTCGAGGGCCTCTTGGAGGCCGACTAGGTTGCGACGACTTTTGTCCCCAGTAGATCTTGCGGAGGCCCTTGGGGTCCAGGCTGGCGAAGGCTATTGCTATGCGATAGCCCGAGAATCTGTCCTTTTACGGTGCGGCCTCGGTCCCAGAATTCCTTTCCAATCGGGGGGGTATTTTTGAAGGTCAACGCACCTTCCTGTAACTGAAGGGCCCACGGGTTCGCTTTTCAACGGATTCACCCTTGCGCATCAAGCGCTGGCTGATCGTCTAGCGTCTGGAAGCGTCCGAAAATCGCAACCACCACCTGTTGCGAAGCGGCCGGCCAATATCGAATTCGTCTGATGAGCAGCTCGGTTCGCGAATCGTCGATCCGCAGCTTCTTATGTACTTGCCGCGCTGGGGGGGGGGTCCTGACTTTCTCCACTCCGTCGGCATTCGTGTACCTGGCGATTCCACGAAGGGCGACTTTGGCGAACCCAAGTATGACCGAATCCAACCGAGCGAAATGCTGGGCCGAGATGATGTACGGCTCGAGGCCCGAGCCGGCCGCGCCGTGGACCACCCCCAGGAAGGCCATGCGTTTCAGTCGCACAGACATGTGCTGGTTCCAAAACCTACCGGGCTTACACCAAGCCGAACTTGTAGCGTCTACTCTTGCTCTGATCTCAGCCCCCGCCCCCCCGGTCAACTGCCCCGCTCCTCCCAGGTGCACCGCTTGCGCCTGTGGAGCTCCAGGGAACTGCGCAAGGCC